ATGAAGCAGGGCCAGACCAGTGATGACGAAATATTAAGCAATGGTGAGTAAATATTATTTTAATATGGGTATGAGTACAATCTCAACTCGAAAGTTACCTACTTACTTGAATATGACCGTCTCGATTATCAAGGTGTTACTCATTTGTTATTTTTTACTTTAAATTTTTCAGCAAAAGTGGGTATATTTTTTTAGTTTTTTCTTAAATATTTCTTTAATTTGATTTTGGCATACATCTCTTTTAATATATTTATGATTCATTTTTAAAATAATTTAATATATTAAACATATCAAATTATGCTCTGATAATAATAAACATTGGACACCCAGTGGTACGGTCATACCGGGCATCTAATTAAAAATGGCGCAAGCTATAACTCCGCCATGTTTTATTCGATTATAAAAACAAACAATTAATTAACGTTACTGGTTTCGAAAATGCTACGCACTGTCATATATTATTATCATTTTTAAAGAATGGAAGAGCTGTTGTCAATTATTTTTTCTCTTATTAATTAATCAGATAGATAATTGACTTTCTAATATACCTACTAAATATGTTTTTTTAGCTAATTTTAACACAGAAGCTTAAAGCCAGAACCATATATTTGCACCTTAATAGACATTCATCTGTACATACGCTAATTTCACAAGTCCAAACATTTTTAAAGGGGTTCGTCATAGCTTAGAAGATTAAAAATCAACATTTTGACAGTTACGAAAATCGAGAGAAAAAAATCACTTCTACATTTGTGTTCAAAATCGGCAACTCGCACATTTTATTCTTCAATTGTTTTTTGGATACACATGAAATAATATTTCAAATATTTTATGAATCTCGTTAGAATTCTATAGTATCACCAGCAAAGTTCTTTTATATTTAATATTTTTTTGATGTTTTGAATAAATTAGTTTTTTTACCAGAAAAATCGCAATTTTCGGTTACCGCAAATTTTTCAAGTTTATGCCGGCGATTACTCAACGAATTTTCAAAATATCGAAAACACCATTTGAAAGGAAATTTAATTAGCTAATCCACTAACCTAAAGGATTTTGTTAAACATAATTATTTTATAATTTTTTTGCAAAACCTTTTGTAAATTTTTTTTCAAATGGCCGCCATTTTGTTAATAATTTTTTTTTTATACTTTTAAATTAGGTTTATGGACGAGGTATAAGTGTTATAATAACAAAAAAGTTCGATTGGTATGTTTCAGAATGATACAGCGGTTGCGAAACGTGGCACAAATGAAGAGGAAAAAAACGTCTCCTACTTTATAACTTCAATGCGCTTAATTTAAATTTATCATACAAAAATTTTTTTATGTTTTCTTAAACTACAAATAAAATAGTGTCAGTTTCAATTAAAAATATTGTACAGTTTTCTCAAAAAAAAAAAAAATCCTGAAGTTCGCATTGATTTTTTGCAATCTATACGAGGATACCCCCTTAAATGAACGTTTTCTTGATGGAAGAGATGGAGTGACTTAGTTTAAAATCATGGTAGGTATATTAGCATCAAGAATATATTTATTTTCGTAAATATAAATATACCATCCTTGATTTAAGAATTTTTTTTGCGTGCAGTAAATCAGTATTTATTAACAGTAACTTTTCGTTTTATTGAAACAAATAAAGAGTCTCTTTTCAAAGGAAAATATAATTGACTGGTTTTAACATCACATCATGGGCATTCAACTGTAATATACTATGCCAAAATTATATCAAAATACACAAGGTGTGTTTAAAGCTAAAACTCGAAACGTAAATATTTAGGTACCCCTTTGGGGCCAGATATCTCAGTTAGAAGGGACATTAAGCAAAAGAATTATAACGAGTGAGGGTGTTATTTTTACCTCCCTTATATGTTCACGGGAGATTAGTAGATATTTACCGGACACCCTTTACAAACCTCGCAAATAATTTGCATCTTTAACAGATTCCGAATTTGCTCGGCAACAATGAAGAAAACAATTCAGTTAAAATGAAAATCTAATCAGTCCTTGAACGTCCTTTCCAAGCGCTTTGTTTGTGCCACGTTTAGCAATCTAATAGCATTTTTTTAATAGCAAAGTTAAATCGTGTCCGTTTTATTGGATTACATCGATTGAACAAAAAGTTCCAACTGACTTTCCAATATCCTTGTTTGTTACCCCACGTTTAGTAATTTAATAACTGATTAAATACCGGAGTTACATTATGCGACTATTATTCACGGCTGATATTTTATTAAAACATACTGTGACAACAAAAGGCTTAGTATAATACCCGTGCCGGAACTTTTATAAAGCTTTTCAAGCCAAAAACCTCACTCACTCTTCCATGCAGGAACAGCCTCGCATTTTGCTTTTTTTCTAGCTGCCACGGGCACAAAAACGTGAGGGCTGTTTTCTGCGTGGTTAAACCTGTACACGTCGCCGTCGTATCACGCCAATAATTTATTTGTATTCATTTTTTTGTTCCAGAATATGGTAGCTATAAGTTCGACCAATTTTTATCATTACTAGGAGACAAAATTAAGTTAAGAGGTTGGGACAAGTACAGAGGAGGCCTAGATATCAAAGGTAATATTTCAATGTACGAAACACAAAAAATAACCAAAGAATGTGTAGATTAACCATTTTAATGTCGGTATACAGGGTGAGTCAATTTTTTGTGGTAGGATTTTAACAGTTGATAGAGAATCATTTTTTAATAAGAAAAGTTCCTATAAACGTAGGTCTTAGAACGCTTCGTTTGTGAGATATAGGGTGTTGAAAACAAACTTTTTTTTAAGAATTTTAAGAATTTTAAGAATTTTAAGAATTAACCAAAAACCGTTAATTTTATAAAAAAAATTGAGAGATCTGTTTTGTTCAGAATTGATTAAAAAATTTAGAAATGATGTTATTTTCCAGAAAAATTCACGGGCGTACGAATTATTTTTTTAAAGGGGGCAGTAACCCACCTCAGGCACGTCACTGGTGGGTGAAATGGATAACAGATATCTTTATTTTATTCACCATAACTAATATGTTGTTAATACCAAATTTCAGTTCAATATATGTTGGTCTTTTAGAGATATTAAGAAAAATTCTTAATAAAGTTTGTTTTCAACACCCTATATCTCACAAACGAAGCGTTCTAAGACCTACGTTTATAGGAACTTTTCTTATTAAAACATGATTCTCTATCAACTGTTAAAATCCTACTACAAAAAACTGACTCACCCTGTATAGGATGTCTCGGATAACATTGGTTATACCGCTGAGATTTCTGAGATAAAAACGGTTAAATTTAATTTAATTTACCTTAATCCAAAAGCGATTTTCATTTAAAAGTCACAAGGTGTTAAAGTTTTTGTTTTCAGTTGATTTTTCATAAATATCTAATAGTCATCTTAAATTTGTCATAAGTTACAGGGTGGCACCGAAAGTATTAAAAATTATCTTCAAATACTTAATTCCCTGCATCAGTGCCATGCCGTATGGAGAGTAAGGGACCCCGTCCTTTTAAAAATATGTTTTGTTTTATCTGTCGATTTCGAAAAAAAAAAGATGCCGTTGGCTTCCGAGGCCAGAATTGCAAAATTCATTTAGTAATATTTTTGTTTACTTTTAACCTGAGTATCCAATCATGTTTTATCCTTCTTGTTTTCAGCCATATCTTGTTCTTTTTTCTGTAATTGATCTATTCACGGGTTTCCTGCCTAATCTCAAGTAATAAAGTACATAGGTAATTGATTATATTTTTGAAAACGAATTTTGTAAATCCAATCTCGGATTCGTTATCACTGACACCAAAAACCCTGTATATCAAATTTGGCCGAGAATGTGTTAATTTTTGAAAATTTGGTCGGCCGCCATCTTGAATTTTGCAAAATTGACTTAGAATTCGTGATCAGCGACCCCGAAAACCTCCTTATACCAAATTTGGCGCCAATCTGTTATTTTTTGAAAATTTGGTCGGCCATCTTGGATCCGCCATCTTGAATTTTGCAAAATTGACCTCGGATCCGTGATCAGTGACCCCGAAAACCCCCCTTACACTAAATTTGGCGCGAATCTGTAATTTTTTGATAATTCGTGATATCTGACCTTAATTGACCCGATTTTTTGAGGTTAGAAAAACAACCATCAATTCTGATCGCATATTAATGTTTGGCGGGGTCTTAACCATATAAATGAACATTTGAATATAGAAAAAGAAATATTGTNCTTTCAAAGTATTGGGCGGAATTATAAAATTTAAAGTCTGTTCTAAAGAGAATTGCAAGAGCTTTCAAAAGAAATATTACTCAACCCCCAATGCCATTTAAATATTTTGGGGTGATGCTTACCCTTGCTTGGGGGTGAAAATGGCGGAGTCAAAAATACCAGCAAAGAATGTCCCTCTTTAATCTAAAATCGACAGGTCTCAGCGTTTTTCTACAATCTTGACGCAGTTCCTGAAAATGGCTCTGTTTCGTTTTCATTTGACCACCCTGTATTATTCTGTTATTCTTTGAAATATTTCAGGAAACATTTGCTGTGTTCAATACTTCAATAAAAAAAATATTCAAGAATAAAGTGAATAACCACAAACTTTTCTAAATCGACACTATCGTTATCATATATTTATATTCGAAAAGTATGTTCCTATGGTATATTTCGACCACAAATCGATAAATTTAACAATTTGAGGCATTATTTTGTGAAATTGCTGTAAAATTTCCAGCGGAGTGAAGTAGAAATGATAAATTGCGGCCATTCGTCATGTCTATGGGCGATTTATCTACCCTCTGAATACGGCAATTTCGTGCGACAATAAAAAAATGTCAAATGTCAAATTACGCATCTGTGCATTAAGATAGAAAGTGAAAAATGTCCTTAAATTTTTAAGCATCTGACTTTTAAAATATATTATTTATATAATCAATTTCACTAGAAGTTTTGTGCGTTTTTTCACAATTAATATAATTTACATATAATAATATATCAAACATATCAAATGATTTAATTAAGTAAAACTGTTTGTTTCAGCTGCAACAACCGGAAGTAGACGGTCAGGAACACTGTAGGAGATTTAGGATAGAAAATGGAGATTCTCCGGGAGAAAAAGATGAGGTGAGTTATATTTTCAAATAAATAATTATTATTCGTTCATATTCACAAGAACAACATTGTTGTTTATAGAATGAAATTTTGTAATTGAAGTATTATTTTAATCGAAATTTTATTAGCAGAACAAAAATTACGTATGTAACTAAGATAATAATTAAGGGATATGTCAAAAATATCTGTAAGATTTTTTATATTATATATTATTAGCCTTTCAATGCAGAATATGGAGCAAATTATTACGTAAACCTACAACATATATACATTGTTGGAATTAGAAGGAGGCAGAGATTCTGAAAATCGAATAATATACAGGGTGTTTCATTTAATAAAACATAAGTTTGGTTCGTATCTTTGGAACGCCCTATATAATTTTTATTTTCTTAAAACTCATTAAACTCACAGAGACATTCCCTACAACTTTTATATTAACTATTTTTGTCTGACTCAAAAAATAAGAAAGTTAAGGGGGGTAAAATGTTATATGAATAACCCTGTACATATTGTTAAAATAAGAGCCTAGAAAATCTTACTGTCTACTAATGTAATTTTCACTAACAAAATTTGAGAAACACTATTTACACATAACATAAAACAAGAATAAGTTAAAGTAAGTTAAGTATTCAACTCCAAATATCGGTGTCCATTCAGACATTTCTCAAAAACGTATAGAACTACGAGTATTAAATTAATGCCGACTATTCCTGCATATACATTAATTATGAACCGGTGTTAGTCTTTTGTTTGTGTTTTTGTTCATTTGGCAGAAAAAAATATAAAGATCGCGAGAATTATGCGCAAATTATAAAATGGTATTACTTACATGACAGTAGCGTACATGGTAAATTAGTTTCAATGTTCTCCATTTAGTGTAAAATTTAGTTGTACTCGAATTTTTTGTATCATGTACTGGGACACCCTGTATAGTAACGAACTATTTAATTTATTAGCAGAGATTTTATTTTTTCGCATAGAAGTAAAACATAAATCAGAATTAGACATCTTTATTACATATTCAGTAATGACATTTCAAAAAGGGGAATCATTTGAAGCAACGTAATAGTATGCTTAATTCACCGCAACTTGACTGATATTGCAATAAGAACAAATCTAATAACTTATTCAAATACTGGAACTTTGAGAAGCCGCGGTAGAACGTCTTATGGGATTTTGGTCTTAAAGATTCATAGGCGTATAGGCCACATAAAAGGAACATTGTGATATACTGAATAGGTAGTCATAACATATAAGTTAATAAAATATATTGTTCCCACAAATCGCAAATATTTAAGAGAACTAAAATAAATCCATTTCCCTCAAAATGAACAAATTAAATATTTTGTTACATTATTTCATAACAATCGAGCTTGATTCTGGATTAAACTAAAAGAAGGAAGAAGACTTATAATTATCTAATAACTCATTGTTGTGGTTAATTTGTGACTTTAATGTTTCCCTGACATTCTATCCTGTCATGGGAGATTTCTACAATTTGGTTCATGAAATTCGGTTTCAGATGTTTGGTTCCCCGAGCACTCCAGTCCTCGAGAATCCCGAATACCAAACAAGATGGTACTTCAAGTATTTCTTAGGAAAATGTAAGTATGCGGTCATGTCAGAAATGTTATTATTTCGCTACATAATATCGATCGTTAAATAATAAGAGTCTGGGTAACGGTAGATTTCAAACAAATCATCAATCAGTTAATTCTGAAAAAAAAGAATTTTCTATGGACACATGCGATAAGCGGCTTATACAGGGTGTTTCTGAAATAAGTAGCTTTCTTGAAAAAAGCACGAGAATGGACAACTTTTATGAAGTACTTAACTGATGGTCTAGAGTCTACATGCTTCTGTTTTTGAGAAAATTAATTTAGAAAATTAACCAAAAACGTAATCCGACCCTGTGCATCTTGAGCACGTGCGCTGTGTGTTACAGTATTGATTAGCCGGAGTATAGAATGTTTTCTGATCAAGAACTAGCAGATATAGTGTTAACGTACGGAGAATGTCACTACAATTTAAATTTGTATGTGGTCGGTTACTGTAACAGACGACAATCTAACATTAGAACAGTGCAAAAGGCAGTTAAAAAGTTACAGGATACCGAGAATGACCTAACAAATGAAAAGCGCAACGTGTTTTTGACAACGAAGAAAACATCATAAACCTCGTTGAGAAAGATCCGAGGCGCAGTACTCGCTACATTGGCCAGAATTTGTTGTATCAAACAGTACTGTGTGTACTACGGAAATTGTTAAATATCGTCTATAGGTAGGTAATTCGTTTATTTGTTTAAATTTTGTGTTACTTTTAAACGAGATTTGAATAAATTTCAGCATTTTCAAACACAAAATTTAAACCGTCAAAACTGACATCAGCGCTTTCGCACTGCGGCGCGCGGCAGCTTCGATATCAAAGGTACAGTTGACTGCCGCACCAGGGACAGCTTTAATTTTGTTTGAAACGTTTAAATTTGTTTAATCCTCCATATGATTTTTTTTCAATTTAAATCGCAGTGTTTTAGACCATTGGTTGCTTAATAAAAGTTGGTTATTTTTGTGCCCTCAATCAAGGAACGCACTTATTTCAGAAACACCCTGTATAGAAGGAACTGGAAGAGAGAGTTTATTGAAATTTGGTACAGGTAGTAATTCCTAGACGACCTCATTTGTGACGTATCAAAAATTTTTTTTATCGCAATGGGCGTAGGTAAAGATATTTAACATTGCATATATTTGAGAAAAAAATGCCACTGATTTGTTTGATATTTAAATGAAATTCATAACAAAGTAAATAAATTTGTAGTCAAATATTAGAGAAATTCCAAATAAACTTAAAAAAGTCTTAAAAATCAAATACTCTATAAAAAACTTAAATGAAAGCTTAAAAGATTATATTTCAATTGGTTTTGTAACAAATTGAACTAGGAGATATTGTAGTTTTTGGTGAATGCGCCAAGATTATTGATACGAATGTAGTAAGTATGAAAGATATATTTACAAGTAGAAAGCCTTAGTTCTCTAACTAGAAATTATTTCTCAATAAATTTTAAGTGATTTACTCTCATATCTTTAGTAACATAACTCACAAATAGATAAAAACACTACTCCAAGAAAGGAAACTATTCTGTTTTCACAAAAATCCTTTGGTTAATACAAAATTGAATTTTAGAACAAGGTTAAGACCCTCAATTATACTTAAATGTATTAAATACTGTGAAGTTTGACTGTAATCAGCACAGACGATGTTGTTTTGCTGTTGTGCGTATATTATATAATTGTAGAGATTTATTTTCTACAAGGGCTTAAGTTAGAATTTAACATTATGTTCATTAGAGCGCTAAGAGCTCTCATTGAGGTTCGTTAACAGTAACATCCATTCAATAATGGCACTTAAATTATATAACAAAAACTGGATATAAATATTTGTTTTAGAAATTATCTAATTTATATACTTCAATAAACTTTAATTAAGGGATAATTTCTTGACCGATTTTCTCTCAAAAAAGTTACATAATTAGGCAAATTTATAGTTGTGGAGACATTTGATGCAGAACGATGAAATTTGATTCATCTATTTAAAAGTAAAATTCCACTGAATTCAGATATAAATCCGTGTTCCAGTGGTGGAGTAATACTGGATTTACCTTTACTGAAACCCACAGAAATTCGACACAACGGAAGATTTCGAGATTTCAATAATTACTTGTAATTCTCAGTGGTGTTTCCAAGTAAAAAGTAATTTCTCATTTTTATTTAAAAAATCGACTGTTTTCGATTTTCAAGCACTATTCATTAAACCTAAACATAACTGTACAACTACTCGTTTCGCAAAAGAGTCACGGAACTTTTTTTTCGATTTTAAATTTTATAATTCCGGGAAAATAATTATTTTTTTTTATTTTTTCCCTTTCACCTCTAAAAAAATGTAATATTTCTGTTCTAATTATTTTTTCAGACTCTCCGTAATTAAATCCATAAAACTGTATTTCTAGTAAATATTTTTGAATAAATCGAAAATGGATCGTTGTTCGAATAAAATAAATATATTTTTTCTTAAAAACACCAATTATTTTCAATCTGATCTCAAAAACTAACAATCTCCGGACCCATTTCAACATAATTTGCTGCTGAAAATAATTTTTATACAGTACATAAGATTTTATTTCCTTCCTTGATACCTAATTAATATGAATCTCCAATCTCGGCTTCTTCGAATACCCACGTGATGAGTCATTATCTCTAGGCGTACTGCTGACACCCTTTGAGATTAGTTTTAATCAAGCAGCAGTTTAACAACTGCTGTCATGACAAATCGCTCCCTATAAATCTACAGCAGAATTTAACGGCCTTGGCAGGCATGAATCCAGGTTATTTCATTAATTAATTTAGGGTTAAATGCAGGGATTTGTCCCCCCGTTTGATTTTTAAATATTGACGGGCGATTTAAAATAAGATCGAAATGGGAAATCAACGATTTATACACCAAATAACCCTACTTTGTGAAATAAAGCCAGATTGATAGATATTGTGATGATTTAGAACTGGTTCAGGAAAAAAATAGCGTCAAGTGGTGTCGATTATTACAGAATACTGTTAAAAAGATTGCTAAAGTCACAGAATTATTGAAAGCTACGTATAAGGTTGTCTAAATCATCTTATTTTCATTCAAGGTTGGCGGATTGGCATTCTTTTCTGTATTTTATAGTTATAGTTACTTTCTGTATTTTACCACCTCATATAGAATAAAGTTACTATTCGACTTTCGTAAGAACAGGCAAACAAAGATATCAAAGACATGTATATGTAATACAACTAAAACGAACTTGTTTAAAATATGAATCTAAATTGGACTGAGATCTCTATTCTCAATGGAAATCTAATTTATCGTACCTGGATGCTGCAACATCGTGGATATTGATAGTTTCCATATTCTAATTTTAAAGGAGTCAAGTCTACTGAAATAGCCCAGACCTCAGAAGTTCCCCAGGGTCCTGTCCTTGGACCTTTAATATTTACAGTTTTTATTAATGATATTGTGACTTTAATATGCGTTACTTGTTATATGCCGACGACATGAAAATATATTGTTCTATAAATAATGAACTTGATGCACATAATTTGCAATAAAATTTAAATTTAATAACTTCCTGGTGCAATGCAAACATATTACCATTAAATTCCGCTAAGTGTAATGTCACGACATTTAGTCGGCAGTTGAATCAGATACATTATAATTATAAACTTGATGGGCTTGTCCTACAACGACTTGACATGGTTAAAGATTTAGAAGTATTTTTTTATCCTAAGCTCTCTTTTACGAAACATACTGATTATATACCTAAAAGCGCTTACAAAACTTTAGGTTTTATTGTTCGTAATTCGACGAATTTTCAAAACGCTGATACCATCAAGTTAAATATTATTCAATATGTAAGATCTAAGCTTGAGTACGCTTCTTTAGTTTGAGCACCCGTCTACAATAATCATACTCGTATAATGAATGGGTATTGAAAAAATACAACGTCGATTTTTCAAATCAGCTGCCTTTGCACTTGATTGAAAATGAATAGTGTAATATTTTTGTACAAAATCTTAAACAATGTAATAAACTGGTAGAAATAATAAATTATCATATTCCTCGATTGAACAAACGACACCAACATCTTCTCCAAACAAAAAATTATACTAATTTATATAAAGTATCTGCCTTGTACCAAATGTTTACCAATTACAGTGTAATTGAATCACGGTTGGATATATTCTGTTCATTTATAACTCAGATAAAGAGTTTATACATATAATGTATACCTTCTTTAAGTTTATAGATTTGACCTTGTTTTATTTTATTTATGACTTTATTATATGTATTAACAATGTTTGTAATTTATAGCCATTTCTCTTGTTATATATTTGTATGTTTTTGTGGTTTTTAGTTGAATTTTGTTTTCTCTTTTTATTATTATAGTTTGCTATCCTTATCCTGTAACTAGGCACTTGCCTGTTGGATATAGTAAATTAATAAATAAATAATTCTTATTTTTTCAGTGCACCAAAATTATGTTGGATTAGATAACGACAAATCGCCTTTTTTTCTAAGTATAGTCTTGAACGAAGATAATAACACATGTGTTCCTCTTTGTCGTGCTATTCTATTTAAAAAAACGGTAAGTATTTTAACTACCTTAGTGGGTAATTTATCCTAATTTACTCTGTCCCAAAATTCACACAAGAAGTAATTTTGATAGAAAACAGGTTTTTCATTTAAAAATTATAATTTTTTTTAATGACTCATAAAGTATACGGTATATGGAATAGCATATCGAAATTTTCCATGCCGGTTTTATATAAATGTGGCCGAATTTGGTTGGTACAGCGCTCAATTTCTTCCTCAAGGTGTGGGTGGTAATGAGCTTGTTGGCATAAACCTTAAACATCAAAAAACCCCAAAAAATGCACAACGGCGTTAAATCGTATGATTTGGGCGAACAATTCTGATTACCAAAACGGGAAATTACACGACCAGGAAATGACTCATGCAGTAATTCAATTGTTTCTCGGGCTGTATGGCATGTGACATCGTATTGTTGAAACCACATGTCGTCTGCATGCATATCTTGCCATTTAGACACAAAAAACTGGATCACTCGGATTATCATGTCGCGATAGCGTTATTATTGCCCGAACAGCAGTATTTTCCATGTATAGGTCGATGATGCCTTCAGACTAAAATCCGCACCAAACAGTAATATATTGTGGATGATTTGTTTCTCAACAATCACTCTTGGATTTTCTGAAACCCAAATGCGACAATTTTGTCGATTAACGAAGCCATCAAGATGAAAATAAGCCTCATCGCTGTAGATGATTTTGTTCGAAAAATCAGCATCCACTTATTGTGGTTCCATAATCCATTCAGCGAATTCTCTTCGCTCTATCTGATCAGTTATTGAGTGAAATGAACTTTGTAAGCATGCAGATGCAAATGTTTCTTGAGAATACGCTGCAGAGAGTTTCTCGAAAGTCCCAAATTTTGACCAGGATGCCGAATTGATGTTCCTGGACTCTCAACAACAGTTTTAAGAATTGTTTGGATGTTTTGAGTTTAACGACTTGTTGAAGGACGGCCAAAGTGTTTAAGATCACTAATCGATCCATGTCTCCGTGAATTTTTCAATTAATCACTTCACAGTTGAAGATGTTATATCACTATTCTGACAATATTTTGTACATTTCGAACTGTAGCTGCCAATACCTTGAATAACGTTGAACTGTCAGCTGTCACGCTATCATTTTTTTTCGTTGGCAACACTTTACCGCATAAATAGCTCACAATTCAAATCTTGCATGAATTTTGGGACACCTGTTATAACAGAAATATTTTAAGTCATAGTAAGTTACTAACTGAAACCGCACAGATTTGAAATATCCAATAATTTCATAGTTTCCAAATACGACTTCATATCATTTTGTCCAGAAGGCGAGTTTCTATAAATAAATAGTCGAGACGCGACCTATTTGAGACCGGAATCGTGTCTCCGACATAATAATTCAACATTGACAAACTTTTAGGGCGCACAGAAAATATCACTGCCCATACTTCAAAACAAAGTTCTGACCGTAAAGCAAATACTGTCCAATTTCCCCAACATGGATAAAGTCGAGAAAGGACCAAAAGAGATATTCTCGCCGGATATCCAAAAAGACTTATTGTTGTTAGAGGAACAAGAGGGCTCTGTCAACTTCAAATTCGGTGTTATTTATATGAAGCAGGGCCAGACCAGTGATGACGAAATATTAAGCAATGGTGAGTAAATATTATTTTAATATGGGTATGAGTACAATCTCAACTCGAAAGTTACCTACTTACTTGAATATGACCGTCTCGATTATCAAGGTGTTACTCATTTGTTATTTTTTACTTTAAATTTTTCAGCAAAAGTGGGTATATTTTTTTAGTTTTTTCTTAAATATTTCTTTAATTTGATTTTGGCATACATCTCTTTTAATATATTTATGATTCATTTTTAAAATAATTTAATATATTAAACATATCAAATTATGCTCTGATAATAATAAACATTGGACACCCAGTGGTACGGTCATACCGGGCATCTAATTAAAAATGGCGCAAGCTATAACTCCGCCATGTTTTATTCGATTATAAAAACAAACAATTAATTAACGTTACTGGTTTCGAAAAGGCTACGCACTGTCATATATTATTATCATTTTTAAAGAATGGAAGTGCTGTTGTCAATTATTTTTTCTCTTATTAATTAATCAGATAGATAATTGACATTCTAATATACCTACTAAATATGTTTTTTTAGCTAATTTTAACACAGAAGCTTAAAGCCAGAACCATATATTTGCACCTTAATAGACATTCATCTGTACATACGCTAATTTCACAAGTCCAAACATTTTTAAAGGGGTTCGTCATAGCTTAGAAGATTAAAAATCAACATTTTGACAGTTACGAAAATCGAGAGAAAAAAATCACTTCTACATTTGTGTTCAAAATCGGCAACTCGCACATTTTATTCTTCAATTGTTTTTTGGATACACATGAAATAATATTTCAAATATTTTATGAATCTCGTTAGAATTCTATAGTATCACAGCAAAGTTCTTTTATATTTAGTATTTTTTTGATATTTTGAATAAATCAGTTTTTTTATCAGAAAAATCGCAATTTTCGGTTACCGCAAACTTCAAACTCATTTTTCTCGAAACGAAAATTTTTCAAGTTTATGCCGGCGATTACTCAACGAATTTTCAAAATATCGAAAACACCATTTGAAAGGAAATTTAATTAGCTAATCCACTAACCTAAAGGATTTTGTTAAACATAATTATTTTATAATTTTTTTGCAAAACCTTTTGTAAATTTTTTTTCAAATGGCCGCCATTTTGTTAATAATTTTTTTTTTATACTTTTAAATTAGGTTTANCATCATTTGCCGCCGGTTTTCGGCAATAGGGGTGGTTTTACCCCCACGCGGGGGATGTTTTTCACCTTGAGCATATTTGGAAGAACATCCCTGATCTCTTCCTTGCCATTCAAATTCCCGCCAATTTTTACCAAGAATTGATCGAACATTTTCTCACGTTTCTTGTTTTAGGGGTGGTTTCCACCCCTTAAGTAGAGGTAAGTCGGACAAATATTGGAATAATCGAATTATGCTCACCTAGAGTTTTCATGACGATCAATTTAAGCCCACGGAGACCCCTGGACGACCTTCCCCGTTCTTGCTACACACTACGCAAAAACGGTCGAAAAAATGTTTTTTTTTTGCGGTTACTCTTTAATTATCTAATCCACTAACCTAAAGGATTTTGTTTAAAAAATTAATTATTTAATAATTTTTTTGCAAAAACTTTTGTAAATTTTTTTTCAAATGGCCGCCATTTTGTTCATAATTTTTTTATACTTTTAAATTAGGTTTATGGACGAGGTATAAGTGTTATAATAACAAAAAAGTTCGATTGGTATGTTTCAGAATGATACATCGGTTGTGAAACGTGGCACAAATGAAGAGGAAAAAAAAACGTCTCCTACTTTATCACTTCAATGCGCTTCAATTAATTTAAATTTATCATACACAAATTTTTTTATGTTTTCTTAAACTACAAATAAAATAGTGTCAAAGTTTCAATTAAAAATATTGTATAGTTTTCTCAAAAAAAAAATCCTGAAGTTCGCATTGATTTTTTGCAATCTATACGAGGATACCCCCTTAAATGAACGTTTTCTTGATGGAAGAGATTTTACTTAGTTTAAAATCATGGTAGGTATATTAGCATCAAGAATATATTTATTTTCGTAAATATAAATATACCATCCTTGATTTAAGAATTTTTTTTTGCGTGCGGTAAATCAGTATTTATTAACAGTAACCTTTCGTTTTATTGAAACAAATAAAGAGTCTCTTTTCAAAGGAAAATGTAAAAGACTGGTTTTAACATCACATCATGGGCATTCATCTGTAATATACTATGCCAAAATTATATCAAAATACACAAGGTGTGTTTAAAGCTAAAACTCGAGACGTAAATCTTTAGGTACCCCTTTGGGGCCAGATATCTCAGTTAGAAGGGACATTAAGCAAAAGAATTATAACGAGTGAGGGTGTTATTTTTACCTCCCTTATATGTTCACGGGAGATTAGTAGATATTTACCGGACACCCTTTACAAACCTCGCAAATAATTTGCATCTTTAACAGATTCCGAATTTGCTCGGCAACAATGAAGAAAACAATTCAGTTAAAACGAAAATCTAATCAGTCTTTGAACGTCCTTTCCAAGCGCTTTGTTTGTGCCACGTTTAGCAATCTAATAGCATTTTTTTAATAGCAAAGTTAAATCGTGTCCGTTTTATTGGATTACATCGATTGAACAAAAAGTTCCAACTGACTTTCCAATATCCTTGTTTGTTACCCCACGTTTAGTAATTTAATAACTGATTAAATACCGGAGTTACATTATGCGACTATTATTCACGGCTGATATTTTATTAAAACATACTGTGACAACAAAAGGCTTAGTATAATACCCGTGCCGGAACTTTTATAAAGCTTTTCAAGCCAAAAACCTCACTCACTCTTCCATGCAGGAACAGCCTCGCATTTTGCTTTTTTTCTAGCTGCCACGGGCACAAAAACGTGAGGGCTGTTTTCTGCGTGGTTAAACCTGTACACGTCGCCGTCGTATCACGCCAATAATTTATTTGTATTCATTTTTTTGTTCCAGAATATGGTAGCTATAAGTTCGACCAATTTTTATCATTACTAGGAGACAAAATTAAGTTAAGAGGTTGGGACAAGTACAGAGGAGGCCTAGACATCAAAGGTAATATTTCAATGTACGAAACACAAAAAATAACCAAATAATGTGTAGATTAACCATTTTAATGTTGGTATATAATAAAACGTTCTCTATAGGGTGTCTCAGATAACAGGTGTAAAGATTGACCTCAAAACCGGTAGTCTTTTTAAAAATAAAAAGATTGTGGGAAAATTGGATCTTTTCTTATTTCTAAAATAAATTACAATGGTTTTACATAAATCTCCAATAAACATGATTGTATGCTTGCTGACGGTGTACCTATTTCAAAACGGATTTATTTCAATTAAGAAAATAATATAACAAGAAAGATAAAAGGCTATTATAAAAAAGTGTAATAAAAAAACTTCTTCAAATAAAAAAAAATACATTACAATGTTATTGAAGTAAAAAGTCGCAAAAATGAAAAAGGCTCCGTATCTTTCGAAAGAATTCAGATATTCATCTTTTTCAGCAGTTACATTTCTTTAATTTTTTTCATAATGTCAAACTTGGTTAAATATTGTGAATTTTATCAATACCTCCAAAAAATATTTAGACATTTTTCTGATAATTTCCTGTATTTGAGAAAGACGAAAATATTCTTAAATTCGGTTGAGGAAAACGGTTTTTTAATTTTGAAACGTTCTAGTGTCACATTCTACTTCGACGACGTACAGCAACAATTTAATTATTTATTTTAACATGACAATTGACAACCTTTTTTATTTTAATTATCAATCAGCACCGAGAGTCGTTACTTGAAGAATTTAAGAACGTAAAAAGTCATCACGGTAATGTTCCTATTCGAGATTTATTTATGAGATCGACATCACCCGCAAAGTCTAGATTAAATTACAAAAATTACACGGAGCCCGAGCGGAAATTACTCTCCTAACGGGAGCGTTTTAATTTTGTTGACATTCGCGGATACCTTGACACCAGGAAAGCAATTTTAATGAAGTTCAATAACCGATCGTCTAATTTTCAAATGCAAACAGTTCTTTATAGCGAAACATTCAATTTCCGCGAGACAGAAACTTTTTTAATAAAAATATGAGGTTATATCTAAAAAATACTTGGTATCTGCTCTCTGTCTTTAAATACGTTGCTATAAAAAAGTTATTTTCTTTTATCTCGGTAACTTTTCGCAAAGGTCAACGAGTTCAATCCGCGCGTTCTTGGATGTTGTTAATTTTTTAGACTTTAGACTGTAGATGTTGGAGAGATTTTTTTTTTTTTCATTTATAAGCAAAGGTACAACGAATGTAAATATGTTTTAATATTTCCGTACTTAATTACTATTTCGTTGAAAAGCATTTGGTTTCCTTACTGGCTTATTAAACAGCCGAATTTTGCGAAACAAAGTTTAAGAGTAGTCAGTATGATTTAATTTAAATCCATTCATTGTTCATGAACACTGATCTTTTTAATATAAACAGATCTGATTGGAAACTTGTCAATTAATTTGCATTTTTATGATATTTCAAACCCACGTTAACACAATAAATCCTTTAAGCAAACACCTACATTTCGATGAACATGTTTTCTACCCTAAAAAACATATTTACTCACAAATGAGAAATTCCATACCTACGTATACTGCTTTTGAATTTATAAGTAATAGATAATATAGATAAGATAGATAGATAAATAAGATAATTGCCAAATCTCATATAACTACATTACCTGAAGATACCACTATAGTGATATATCTAAAGCACACCCAATTTATACAGGGTGTTTTTGGAAAAAGATACCGACACTCTCAAATATAGGTAATGATGGAATATATCAAAACAAGAAGATTTTTGCTACAGACCATGGGCCTATCTTCTTTTGTTTTTGTGATATAAGGCATCAAAGAAAATGTTTTAAAATCAGAAAAGGTGCGTTTCCTTTGGTGACATATTACATAAATATAAAGTAAATATTTTATATTTATAAATTTAAGTCAATAAATAACAAAATTACTTCCCATGTGTTTTATGTTTCATTGAAATTCCTCTAAATAATAGTAGATGATAACATATTGATTCGACAGGCAGAGAGGGCACAACTCTGTGACAGAGTCAGAACCTTGGGAAAAGTAGCCATTTTCATTAAATAGAATTCTGCATTTCCCTAGTTGTCTTACTCTGTGGTGTAGATGACTTGCCAAAAACGATCAAAAGTTGTCAAATACACTGCATTTAACGAAACGCCAAATAGAAACTCTACACTGTTGACAAATCAAATGTATAAAAGTTACAGAATCAATTGTCAATTTGCCTTTATAGTTGCTATAAAAACATAGTACTTCTAATGTGTATGTCATCACATATTGTATACCTCTTTTTGCATAAAAAAAATAAAATAAAACAAAAAATGACGAAGTACGTGTTACATATTTTAATCAAATCTTTTAGACAAAAAATTAAAAAATATGGGAAACATAAATACTAGTCCACAGTATAGGCCCCCCCTGGAAAGTTGATTACCACATACTTTATAACTCCTGAGGAGCTTCGTTTTGACGAGTCTACCACATTTTTCCTCTGCGACTTTTCTCGATTCCTCCGCTTTTCCACTCGGAAAAGTCCAAAAACATGGCAATTTCCCGGGGTCTTGAAAACTCAAGACCACATCTTTTATTTTTAGCTTAAGTAACTGGAAATTTTGTTGCAAATGCCGATTTAAATTTGTCCGACAGAAATTCCTCCGACATTGACGTGTCTACCGGTCGAAACATGCCAAAATAACAGGGTATTGAAAATCAATTACCACATAGGTAATTTTTAGTAAAATTAATTGTAAATAATTAATTCAGTCAAAAAGTATTGTTGTCCGACAAATTTCAAGCCGCGTTTTTTCAGTCCGACAGCTGGAAATCGGAATTTTCACAGGGTATGAAAAATCGATTACCACATGTCGGACAAAAATAACACACGATAGAAAAGTGTTTTTTATAAGCAAAAATTGTAATGTCCGACAAAAATGTATCCGCAAATCGTCAGTCCGACAAAAAAAGATGAAAAAAATTTCGTAAAAAATGTGCACATGTATTTATAATTTCTAATAAGGTATTTTCATGTATTAAGCAAAATTCCATATAAATATACAATACAGGGTGTTTCAGAAAGACCTCCCGTAAATACAGGGGGTGAGGACGACAAAAAATAAGAATTTTTTGTCATATGAACTATATGTCTATCTCCTCTTCTCAAAGCTCAAGCTTACTTTGAGAAAAGTCACTTATTTTATAGTGTAATATTGTAAGAGTTTAATTAATAGCCTTTTTTCTCGAAAATCGTCCGCATTAGGAAGTTCTAACAAGAGTACAATATTTTTAGAAAATAAAATTGTACAATAGAAATTAGAGCCCGACTGGTAAAAAACTTAACCTTAAAAAAAAAACTTAAATTGTAATAAGAATGTAGCATAACTAGCACTTTCTATGAAATATACAAAAAATAATAAGACTAGCGTATTTGGCACCCTTAAAAACCTCGGACTACCAAATTTCATCAAAATATTTCGCACTATATAGAAATTTTCATAAAAATGTTATTTAAAAAATTTTATTTTGTCTCTCTGTATCTCGAAAACAACAGGAGATAGACATAGAGTTCATAAGACAAAAAAATCTCATTTTTTGTCATATTATCACCCTCTTTATTTACGGTAGGTCTTTCTGAAACCCTCGGAATATATTTTTCGTTTTATTCTTGTAATTGTAAATCTCTGTATGCTCAATTTAGCCAAATAAATATCGAGAAAAGAATTAAACGATTTCAAAAAAGTATGTATGGTATAAAAAAATTATGCACTAAAGTTTTGGGATTTTCTTTTAGAAAAGTAGGAAAATTTTTGTGAAGAAAAATAACAAACGCGAATGAAAACTTGAAAGAGAAAAAAGGATTTTTATATTAAGTATAATATTAATTTATTTAGAAATAATGCATTATGCACTAAGATCGTATTAATCGCCTCAAAAATAACTTCATTTGTTTATAACTTTTAAATTTTTAAGCATAAAATAAGCAATATTATAATTATTTATTTGAAACAAATAATAATTTACATAATAATAATTAATAACCATTTATAAATATGAAATTTTTGGAGTGAAAAAATTAAATTTCATCACGTTTATTGATTTATTGATTTTTTAATAATTTGCGGACATTAAATCGTCGGACACTTATATCACTATTTTGTACAGTAAATTTAAAAGTGGAAAAAATGAAAATTAGATATGTGGTAATCGATTTTTCATACCCCGTGAAAATTCCGATTTCCAGCTGTCGGACTGAAAAAACGCGGCTTGAAATTTGTCGGACAACAATACTTTTTGACTGAATTAATTATTTACAATTAATTTTACTAAAAATTACCTATGTGGTAATTGATTTTCAATACCCTGTTATTTTGGCATGTTTCGACCGGTAGACACGTCAATGTCGGAGGAATTTCTGTCGGACAAATTTAAATCGGCATTTGCAACAAAATTTCCAGTTACTTAAGCTAAAAATAAAAGATGTGGTCTTGACTTTTCAAGACCCCGGGAAATTGCCATGTTTTTGGACTTTTCCGAGTGGAAAAGCGGAGGAATCGAGAAAAGTCGCAGAGGAAAAATGTGGTAGACTCGTCAAAACGAAGCTCCTCAGGAGTTATAAAGTATGTGGTAATCAACTTTCCAGAGAGGGCCTGTACTGTGGACTATACATCTTTTTCATAAAATAACATAATTCACTCAAATTTAGTGCAGGTATGTTTTTAAGAGTGGTTAAGATTTAATTTTAAGAATTCATATTTGACAGCTTGCATCTCAAAAACAGTGGATAAGATAGCCTCGTGGTCCTCAGAAAAAATGTATGGTAAATTTTTTCGAAATATGTATATATACAAAAAATATTTAGCTAACGATCAGTTGCGTGTTATTCCTGTTTTGCAAATTACAGACAATAGGTATATCAAAATTCATTAAAAGCTAAATGCGTGGTCGAAAATATAGAAGAACCATTTTTTTAATCACAAAAAAGACATAAGTATTTCAATTTTGTTGAACTGAAGCAAACATAGAAATTTTAACGATGTTCAGTGAGGCAATCAGATATCGTGGTTTAAATGGAATTTCGTGGAATAAGAAAGTTTTTTAATAAAAATGTGAAAAAGTTTAATTTAAGTACCCTTTTCTTTTAAAAATTCCTTTAGAACTTAGCTAATAATATACATATCGTCATTGGATAAGTGAAATGGTTCTTATAAAACAGAAAAAGTTTATAAGTTCAGATGTCTCTTCTGGGGTTCAGCAATGCTTGATTATGAGCTAATTTTTGCTACAGCTCAATTTAAAAAAGAAGGACATTTAAGGCAATTAAAAGTAGATTAAGTCATTATAGCTACTGATATTATTCGACACAAAACGGCTCAATTTGACATGAACAATAGTTAGAGATTTGTTAATGATAATTCGAAATTAAAATTTCTGTTAGGTTTTAAGCAGGTTTAGAAGAGAGTGATAAAAAGCGAATTAAATTGACTTTATTAGAAACCTCTGATATAAATAATGTAATAGCACTTTTTCGTGTTTTAAATTTAGGACAATTGCAAATTTAAAGACAATGTGTCACAAAGTTTATACATTTTTTAATGTTACACGACCGTTTCTCGTTACAGCCTTTTGAAAAATCACTAAAAATTTAGGATTTCTTTATCCTTTAATTTTTGTGACTAGTGTATAATAATATATTATTTATATTATCAAACTCAGTGGCCAGAACCTTTTATATCCTAGACGTTAACAAAAGTTAAATTTTTCCTAATTTTTCGACATTTCTTCAGACTTAACTTCAAAATATGGTCCTCTGAACCAAAATCTTTTTGTCTCTTGCAATTTGCAAGAGTTGCTTGGCTTTTTCAAAAGCATACGCCGTAGATAAGAAAATATTTAACTGCAAGTGAGCGTTCCAAACTAATAATCCACGAACAAACATTTACTTTCCGATCAAAATCTGTTCAGCTCCAAAAAACACCCTTACATAACTTCTCCCTCGAAACTAAAAGCGCAGGGAAACCTTTCTGAGATTGCTCTCAAACTTCCAGGCGACATGACTGGCAAATACTCCGTGTATACCATCTACGAAGGGCACGAGATAATGTTCCACGTATCGACGCTGCTGCCCTACTCCAGGGACAACCGCCAGCAAGTGGAGAGGAAGCGGCACATAGGAAACGACATCGTGAACATAGTGTTCATTGATGCGGACGACCCAGAAAGTGTACACTCCCAGTTCAACCCCACGTGCATCAAGTCACAGTTTACCCGTATCCTTTTTTATGCCGACAGTGAACACCTTCAAGGGGTTAGAGGTAGGATAAATCTGTTTTATGCTACTCTCGGAGTCGCCACTTTCCCTTTTTTATTCCCCATTTCTTCTGGCGGCGATAGTAGATGTTATAGTCTAAGAGATTGGTGTCAAAATCCTAGGGAACAAAACAAAGGCCCAATTTGGTTTTAAAGGGGTGGGCCTATGTTGCATAACAGGGTTCCAGAGTTTGTTGACACCCCTTGTGGGGCAGGGGTTGGGTGTGCGGGGGTAAATACGAAAATCGCCCCGTGATCAGAATAAGATCCACTTCTTATTTGTGGAAGGGCGAAATGGGCGGTGACTATTAGACGCCTTCATTATAGCCATCCTTCTCTATCGCACGGATTTCTATGACTTACTTTATCGCTCTCACGTAACGGCCGATGAACCATGGGGACTTTCCCACCCTGTAGTGTGATCCACGCGGCTGAGCGGTAGCCAAGAGAGGGGAGCGCTGTGACGTCATAGTACCCACGCTGCGCTCAATTTCTCAAAATTCTTACTTAACAAATGGATTGTGGCATTTAGAAAGCAGCTACCGGATTGTTTTTTTTTAAATCAACTTATTTTTTTCCGCTCTTTCGAGTGGTGTAAGCAAAAGTCTGTGAAAGTCATCGCCAGATCCAGAAAAATAAATTTTTATTGACTTTTCACGTTTTCTGTTGTAATTTCATTGTACTTTCGTTATTTTGAAAAATAAGGTCTTTTTACGTATATAAAAACAAAAGTCAGTTATTTCTTTGAAAAAAAACGATGAATGAATGAAAATTTACCGTGCTCAGAAGAAGTTGATGTATAAAATATCGTGTCAAAATTAACTGTTACACTTACTGCGTAAATTATGTACATTCAATTCTACCATATTGTATTTAATGAATTGTATTGCTAAAGAAAGTTTTATAATATTAAAAATATTTTTTTTAATCACTATTTGATGCAATTGGTTTGAAATCTGTATATTAAATAATTGCCGAGATAAGGGCCTAGTTACCGTTTTTTTTTTGTATTTTGTTAATAACTTTTTTATTTTGCAACTTAAAAATCTGAAATTTGCACAGACGCGAGATAATGTAATTACCTTTCGAACCTTTTCTACAAAATGTCGATATCTTTGGCAGAAAATATACGCGCTCATGTTTTCGACTTTATAAATTTGCAATAGGCCGCCATTTTGAAATTCGGGGTCCGAATTGCGGATATTTGTTGAGCAACCCAACAGTTATCTTTTCCTGTAGTTTCATCTAATTTCAGTCAAATTTGTTCTTTTTATTTAATTCTGAAAATTTTGCACATTTTTTTTTTACTGCTAATTTTGCAATGTAAAAATTTTTTTACGTGCTTTCGCAAAAGCCTATCTTTGTATCAAATTTCCTCAGGAAGAAAATCGATAAGTATACGTCATTTCGATTAGAGGCTTATTTTCGGAGATATAAGCGAAAAACAAAAAAGAGCAATATTTTTTTTCTTTTGTTATAAACAATATGACGCTCGACCGCTACAAATATACAAATTTAAACTTTTGTTCTGTGTATTTTTTACTTAATTTTAAGCCCATAAAATTCGAGTTAGTCCCGATTTTTGAAAAAAAACCTAATTCGCCCGGATTATTGACCCCGTACATTTGACCCCGTTTTAAACACCCCTGCCCCAACTAGGCTGTCAGCAACTTTTATTTTCATACTCCCAGGAAGGTCTAGAATATATTTTATGAGTTGCTGACATTAATCTGATCACGGGGCGATTTTCGTATTTACCCCCGCACCCCAACCCCTGCCCCACGAGAGGTGTCAGCAAACTCTGAAACGCTGTTATTCAACGTACGACCAACACATTAAAAACAAAATTGACCATTAGTCCGATCACGGGGGATTTTGACACCAATCTCCCCGTCTATTAGGAAATCAAGATACATAAATAGTAGGCCATTTTTTAAAATAAATATTTTATTATTAGATCTCGCATTTTTTACAATATCATAAAGGTATTAATGTAATTCAAAGAAAACCCTATTTAATGAAGTCTTTGATATCAAATATATAGGTTTGTAAAAGGTATTTAACCTCACAAACAAGAGTCCTAACTGTTGATATTACAGAAAGCTATTACTGGCCCATACACATTTCAAAATGTCATTATTTATTTTATATCTTTAATCTATTACTGATTTTTTTTATTTCATTTACAAGCCGGGTACTTGCGGAAACAGTCCTAATTGAATATAGAATTAATAAGATCTTTCTATAGCAGCTATTTGTACGTGTTGACTTTTGTCGACAAAAACAACAAAAGATATTTCTTTGAAAGATTGCACTGTTTATCAGTTTCACTATGGCAGGTATGTGCTTTTATATTAATAATATTTAGACACATCATTTTTAGCTTTATGAAAATATTTTATAGTTCTCTTTACTTATCGTCTCATTTCTTTAACTTTTTCTTCCTGTTTCATGTAAAAAGTTTGTTTTTCAAAGTTCTATGTGACATCGACAACACTGCATAACTGATCTAAGTTATGCGTGAATTATGTTGTGAAGTCAGTGGTTCTCAACAAGTTTTCTGTTAAATAATTTTAAATTTAAATATTTATAAATTTTATATTTATAAATATTTTAAATTTAAATAATTCCAAACTTTTTCATAAAAAGAAGAGTTAACTGCATGATTTGCACATTGAAGTGTATTGTACGTTATTTAAAATATATGTATACATTTGGGAATAATTATTTATAACGCTAGCTAGCTACCCTATGTGAAAATAAACTTTTTTCAATTCTAACTGTGTCAGAATTTGCACTAAATGAATATTGAAAACTGAGATGAAAACTATTTTCTTACCGCCTTTATGTTTTTTTTTAAATTGGAATAAAGAATACAGATGCAGTTAAAATTTTTGTAAAACATTATTACGTTTATCATATATGCAAAAATATCTCGAAATATATATAGCTTAGACTGGTGACGTATACACATCAACTTCAAATACTGAGAGAATCTGTCAGAAAAAGTGACAGAGGATCACCTTCTCGTATAGTCTTTCCGATCTCAATTGAAGAACCAAGAGGTTGGCAGTATGTACCAGGTTCGATCGCTGGCGCAGCAACTCGGCATTGAAATATTTGAAAAACTTGTTCCCATATTTATTTAGCCATACTTATACACAGGTCTGGTCGCCCAGTTGAAGAATGAGCGCGCGGGCAAACGCGGCACAAACACAGCTGCACTCGCCGACCTGGCCATAAATTCAGTTATCAACAATTGGTCCAACAGTGCAGTGCAGCAATGCGGAATTTGGTGTGATTCAAGTAATTTTAATGTATACTATATGTATATTTGTACACTATACCTGACTGACAATCTCGCACTCGCTAAATATTTATACATTCTTTTATAGTCTTTCCCAAAGTCAGTTGAACATGTATAAAAACGCCTAGCAATAAAATTTAATGAGTTTCGTAGACGTCCCTAAAAAAGTTTTCTGATAAAGGTAAAATATTATAATAATTTGTATAAAATGTGTAGAAAATGTCTATTATATGTTCATTTGGCCAAAAACATATTATAATAATTTATGTCCTCAAACAATTTTATTATATTAATGGTAAATTTCATTTTGTTCCGTTTCAAGAGGTCTCCAAAATGCCATGTAATTAGTAATAATATTAGTAAACAAAATATCCCTCTTATTTGTCCCCTTCGCAATAATTGTAATATGAATGATTAATAGAAGGTGCCTATAATAAATTAAAATTTCCTGAATCACACCAAATTTCGCACTGCTGCTCTGTACTGCTAGGCAATTTGTTAACCACTTGTCAACAGCTGAGATTTATTGCCCAGTCGCCCAGTTCGGCTGTCTGTGTACGCCGTTTGCCCGCGCCCGCATTCTTCAACTGAGCGTATACGTTTCTACCACCTCTACGTTTAATTCAACCAGACCTGTATATGGGTATGGCTAAATTAATGAACAAGTTTTTCAAATATTTCAATGCCGAGTTGCTGCATCAGCGATCGAACCTGGTACTGTAGCATTTTGAACTGCTACTTTTCTTATTCATTAATTAATTAGGATTAATGTATGTATACTTACTAACAACGCTACTTTTAAATTAGTATTTCTTCTTGGTATTCTGTCATATCTTACTTCTTTCGAATTGCACCTACACGATCTTCTGTTTTATTGACATTGAGTTTTCCTGGTTGCTGCTATTCATGATATTGTCTTAAGTATTCAATACAATAGGCAACCAACACACCACTTCTAAAAATCGCTGAAATGATATTGGCAAAAAGTGTCCTCTAGCTGAGGTCAGAAAATAACATCTAACTGGGAGAGACGGACGGGTTCTAGTGAAGTAAAAAGCACGGGGTGGATTGTGATTGATTTTGCAGTTTTCCATTTTCTTGGGGTTTGAAATACCACCTTTTCTAGTGCTGATGCTGTGTGCCGTCAGTGTGTCTCTGTACCCAGAGGCCTCTCGATAAAGGTTTTCCGAGACGCTTTTCTGTCAATATCTACATTACGTTCGATGGTGATTTTGATTACGTCAATTTAAACCCTTCCACAGAAGGTGAGTTGCAATTCAAAGGCATTTTTTTAGCTCATAGTACTTATGTAGGTAATTGTTCTATTTTAGGGTTTTAGGATAAGTTTGATAAGCTCCGACATTTCGTCTAAGTCCAGCTTTGGAGGACTATTCACTAGTGGCTTCCTGTTGCCCATAAGGGCGTCGTCATTACATTTTGTTTGGCCTACGTTCATCATTAGCTACCACAGTGTTCCCACAGCGATCCATATACACTGGTCAACAAAACCTAGGACTGGATAGACAGTA